CGTGTGCACAAAACTCTCCCTCCCCCCCCCCCGGGTGCCCCAGTGCGCGGATTTAGCTATCCGCACACCAGGGGGCGACTTCGGTATTAGTATATAGATATGGAGCAGAGGTCCATCAGTGGCTATTAGCCACAAGGTATGGATAGGGGCTCTGGGGCAAGTGATGCTTTGTTATCTTGGTGCTTGGGGGGGTCAACAGTGGGAGGGCTTCTAATGTCCTGGCCCCACTGGTGGACCTCCTGATGGCACTGGTATTTCTGGCCACTGTGTGATACAGAGTGTTGGACTAGATGGGCCTTTGGCCTGATCCAACATTGGCATCTCTTATGTTCTCTTATGTTTAGAAGCTCCAGTACTTTGTTGGGAAAGGGAAAAAATCCTTTTTGCTGCTTTAAAAATGCTTTCTGTTATATAGAGGTCCCCAAGACAAACCACTTAGAATTGCCTAACAATAAAACTAGCATGTCGTGGCTTAGCTACCAAATCTAGCAGAACGTTCTCATTTAAAGCAGACCTTCCCTGCTCAAGTAAAACAGAAGAGTCCTGATGCAAACAGAATGGCACCATAAACTGTTCAGAGATTCAGTACCTTAACTCTGTGAGGCCCAACAAATTCTCCATAAGCGTTCTCATATGTGACTTTATTATCTCGGAGGGCCACCCGGTAACCCCAGTTCAGAGAGCCAATGTAATTCTGAACCGCTTCTTTCATGGTCTCCCAGCTGTGATTTACTGTTGAGAAAAAAGAATCCAGCTTTTCATCTGTGCGTCTTTGGTTTCCTGCAGCTTTGGTTCTCCATTAGAATGTTGCATAATAACAGACACACCTGACTTAACTCATTGCTATGCCCCTTCTATTTTAAATTAGTTTAATTCTCCAAGGTTCGTGGAGTTTTGCTGACATAGGGGAAGGATAATGATGTGGGCAAATGTCGCTCAGTCTCCTGCAGGCGGTGTGGCATAAAACCTCATTTCGTATTTCTGCAAAAGGGGTCCTACACAAGCATGAATTTTCTCAGACACCATCAGTGCTGTTGTGGTGACTCCTCTGCTATGAACAAATGTGTTTGATAACTGCATCTACATACTCCAGCTTGTGAAGACAGAGAATCTCTGCCTCTGAGCAAACATTTAAAAAAAACACACAATTGCTCTTGTGAGTACACTGCTTTTTTTTGCGATATAACCTTGATTATATCCCTTTGAATTGGATCAGTTACATGGCAGACAATAATATTCTTCCCTCCAACCAGAAGAAGAAGAGGAGGAGGAGGAGGAGGAAGAGGAGATTGGATTTATACCCTACCCTTCACTCAGAGTCTCAGAGTGGCTTACAATCCCTTTCCCTTCCCCTCCCCACAACAGTCACCCTGTGAGGTAGGTGGGGCTGAGAGAGCTCTGACAGAAATTGCCCTTTTCAAGGACAGCTCTGACAGAACTATGGCTTGCCCAAGGTCATCCAACAGCTGCAAGTGGAAGAGTGGGGAATCAAACCCGGTTCTCCCAGATTAGAGTCCGCGCACTTAACCACTACACCAAACTACTTGGATCCATTTCTGAAATCAGTTCTCACTGGGAGACCCCTTATGTTAGTCAATTAGTCTGAGCACCTTTTTCCTCTTAGTATTTTGTGACCTTCTAGATCACATTGTTTCTACTTTTCTGCCACACTCTCATCATCACTATAAAAGTATTTGTTTGATGGGTGATTGCTTGTTGATACTAGCTTGTCAGTATTTTCTATCGAAATGTTATATTTGATTATGAGTTCATAGTTCTGTATTACTGCTATGTATGTTATGCATATTTTTCAATAAAATCTTTATTTAAAAAAGTATCCCTTTGAATTGTGCCCTCCCTACTTGAATCACTTTGTTCCCATGTCGCCTCTATACAAAGCCTTAAGCAGCAGCACAAGAGACACAGCCGGCAGACAACGGTGACTCCCATGCATGTACCTTTGGGTTCCAATTGCCACCCAAACTTGGGTGCATCAGATATGGCTTGTCCAAGCAAAGCTGTCTGGTGCATCAGCTTTTTAGGTATGCATCCGACATTGACACAAGTTCCTCCAAGACCTGAGAGAGGAAGAGAACCAAGTTTCATATGACAATTTATGGTGTCCTTAGTTCCACCAATGGGACCACACAACAAATTTAATGCTGGAATCAAGAGCGCAATCAGCAGAAACACTGATCGGTAGGGAAGGGGGAACCACATACACTGCCCTGAACTCCCTGGAGGAAGGTGGGATAAACATGTAATAAACAGATAACAGAAGATTAGACTGCTACTGGAGAATCTTTACCCAGAGAATTGGCTCGGACTCTTCCTTGTGGTATATCCATGGGGCTATTATTCTGGATCTTATTTCTGTGATATGTAGATGAAAAAGGAAGCCATGGCAAGGCCAGAATGGGCAGTGTGTGTGCTGTGAAATATTATAAGCAAGAAAGAGTAAGGGAAGTAAACACATGAAAATAAAAGATGACCTGGGAAGGTGGTTGGTTATTCATATTAACTAAGTACCCATCAGCATGACAGGCAGGAGGAGGGATTCAGGAACTCCGGGGAACAACTGGGCCTGACACTTCTTTCTCTTCACCCTGCAGCTTCAACATGCAGACGTGGGCTAGATGTATATCCACTGCTGCCCTGTCCCCACTACCCAGCTGGGTTCCCACACTGGACAGTGGGAGGAGGCAACTTCCCTTTCTCAGTCCCTGGTCTCTTTGGACTGATTTATAGATCCTAACACTGTTGCACAGAGGTCAAATATAATTTCCCCCCAGCGGGCATGTCTTATCTTCTTTAAAATGCTGACAGCTGGTTTCTTTAAAACAGAGCTGGTTTCTAGTAGAAATTCAAGTCCAAGAACCCCTACCCCCTTGCACAGCCCGGAGGCAAATTGAAGCTGTGCAATCCTAGGGCATCTGATATGCTCTTGCCTGTTTTGAGCTCTCAGGCCGACCATGAAGAATGATCATCGGGATGGCTGTGCCCCAGAGAAACAAAAGTTGCGAATCACTGACTTACCCCATCTAGTTCCCAAAGGAGTAGGGACAACATAATCCAGCACCAGCACCTTCTTGCCGAGCTTGGCAGCTTCCTGGAAATCAAATAAAAAACAACCAGTCAAATCAAATAAAAAACAACAGAAGAAGCTAAATGTGCAGTGGCTTACAAGCATCTTATATCAGCATTTCTCATACTGGGGTCTGGGGGCCCTGAAGGTTTGCAAAGGTATTCCAGGGTGCCCGCAAGTCCTTTGTGAGGACAGAGGGCACGTGCTTCCCATGTCTATCTGGCTGATGCAGTAGTTCTCAAATTGTGGGTTGGAACCCCAAACTAGGCCACAAGGCCAGGAGAGAGAAGGTGGAACAGGGTTAGCTAGGACATCAGGCTCCGGGAAGACTGACAGCAAATTTGGGTTTGCCTCTGAGTAATGTGCAAAACAGCCATGAAATACATCCTGTTACTCATTAATGCTATATGTTTATAAATACTAAAAAAAATGAAAATGAATAACGATAGGCATTGCCAGGATATTTAGGCAAGAAGTTTATGCTATGGACCAGGGCTGGAAAACACAAGGCCTGAAGGGCAGATGTATGCTGGGAAACTCTGTTCAGGAAATAGTTTCCACAATACTTGAGGTAGATGGTGTGAAAATGAATATTTCCCACATATTCTCACATCAGAACTTATTGGTCTTCAGCAAACATTTGTGATGCTTTCACTCAGAGATTTTGCTCTGAGTCCCCCCAAAATGGCTGCTGGGGGCAGGGTTTCCATACAACTAGGGTTGACAAGTGAATTTTACTCACCGGCGGGGGAGCCTCACCGCGCTCCGGGAGCCGTCCCTCATGCGCGCGCACCGTCAGTAAGTCACCGGAAATGACGCGTGACGTCAATCACGTTGAGGCCGTGGCCCCGATCGTCGGAGGGAAAACCATAGAGTTTTCCCTCCAACGATCGGGGCCACGCCTCCAACATGACTGACGTGGTTGCGTCACCTCTGGTGATGCAGCCACACTGCACTTCGGGGGGCGGAGTTCCCCCGGGGCCCGATTCCACAGCGGCGGAAATCGGGCCTCCAAAGCGGGGGGTTACCCGCCACCCGCCCCCACTTGGCAGCCCTACATACAACATTATGCTGCAGTTGCCCAACTCCCAAATTTTTCTGCTTTGCTGTGTTTTCCCATAAACCTGCCTTGGTAAGATCATACTCAAAGCAGTTTTGGGGAGAGTGCGGACACAGAGGTGCAACTTTCCTCAACTCACCACCCACATCCAATGCCACTTCCCAGTGCCTCTGCATTCACAGTGCCAATGAGAGTGTGACAGGGAATCATCCCCTGGTGGAAGCAACCTTATATTCCAAGAGCAGATGAGATGGTAGCATACATGTAGCCCATCAGCACATGTAAGTTTCCCTAGGGGCAAACAGCATCTCCCTGGGCCTATTTCAGGTTGGGAAAATGGACAGGGGGCAGTTAAAGTCCCCTTTTCCTGCACTCCCAATACAAATTGGTCCATGCATGACTGGGAATTAAGTTTCAATATGGAACTCCTACTGTACGCCTGGTCAGCATGACCTCGTTCATACCTATAATTACATGCCTGTTTAACCACTTTGATAAGTGAGGGAGTTTCACAATTATCCTCCCCAGGTGTAAATGCTACTGACATTATAGGGTAGAACTCACAAAAGTCAGCAAAAGGTCTATATTTAGACAGGAAAAGAAACTCATAATGCCACAGGGATAGATGCTGAGGAAGGCTAAGCCACTCTATAGTACCTCCAGAAGGTACCATAGCTGGAAACAATGCAGCAATTAATAGATTTACTAAAACATTTCTATCCCACTCTTCTATCCTAAAGGGATGTGCAGGGCAGATGACAAGCATTATTATCAAAATATTAATGTTTAAAACAAGAAGAAACCATGACAAATCAGAAGCACTCCAGATTTTGTGGAGGGGCCAATCAATTGAAGCCAGAGTAGGCAATGAATGTTGTTAGTGAATAGAACGATACCAGGCCCTGAAATTTCAGGAAGGTCCAAAAGTTTGTGACAGCAGTAGTAGTGGTGGTCATGGTCAGAGACAGTGCAAGGAAGTCCTCCTTTTTACTTTCTGGCCAAGCTGGTGAGATGTAAAGTATCCCAGGCAGTGTTCCCACGCGCGAGATAATGTGGGGGGGAAGTGAGGCTATTTGCTCCGCAGGAATTTGACCTGCATTTGCACAATCACACAGTCCCGGGGAGCTGTGGGGGCAGCCCACCACCACGTGATCAGACACAACCGCGGGTGAGTTGGGGTTTTTTTGGCTGCGTATTTCCGGTGCGCTTCAACAAGGGATCGATTATTCACATCTCTGCACCGAGTGCTCCCTATGCAGTGTGCAATGATGCGCATACCGAAATGGGGAAAAAAACGACATGGCGTCGGGATTGCCCGATCAGACTATCCTGATACTATGGAAGCGCGCTGGTGCAATCACACTGGGGAAAGTCCATTCCTGGCCCGTAGCAAACCTGTTTGCTACTGGGTTTTCCCCGGGTGTTTTTTTACCCCACTTCTGCAGCGGAGCAAAATGGGTTGCCGACGGGAGCGGGATGCTTGGCAGATGTTGGCGCCCTTAAAATCCGCCCGGCATTCGCGCCTATGGCGTGGTTAATTCTGTGTGTTATTGCACCCCCAGTCTTCCTAACAACCATTCCTAAAAAAGGGGATTGAATCTGGATTCAGGAAGAGTGAATTCCTATCCTACCAAAGAACACAAGATTTGCCTTACTGGATCATCAGATCAGAGACTAGATACCGTAGAAACCTATCAACAACACTGGCCAAATAGTAAGGGCACTGATTTGGTGTTGGAGTAAGATGGTACAACTGAACTGCATCTGTTAACGAATTTTTATATTGTCTGGAGCAACAGCTGACTGGGTGTTGAAAAACCCTATTTCCAGTATTGAAATGGTTTGGGGGAACATCAAACACACTTGGGAAAAGGCTTTACAGATTTTTTTTCAGTTCTCCCCTTTCATTTCCTCTTTTAATGAAGACAAGATTGTATTTTTGTACCGATTATCTGAGTCATGGGGAAAACAACACTTAATGCCAGAGAAGGGAAACAAAAAAGGTATAAGCAACACAAACTTAATTAAATGCAGAATGACAATTTGGCTTCCTAAATGACCACAATTGTGTCAAATGATAGGTTGCGTTCCATTGCATGAGTGGCCCTTGAGAAGTCTTGCTTCTGGATGATATGCTCATTATACTTCAAAGTTCCTTTTAAAATGAGCTTTATCCCTGAGACAAAATGATGTGTTTATTTAGCAACGTTAGCAAGTCAACAGGTACACGAATCTGACTTCAGCCCACAGCTGTGGTTTGCATTCTATACATTCCCAAAAAATCATTAGTATGAACACACTAAACACAAGGATAAGTTCACAAGTACTTATTCTTTCTTGCTAACAAGAACAACCACAAGCAGGAGACCCAAATTCGAGATTGCTCACCTCCCAATATAGCTGCTGCAGCCGCTGGCCAGATATGAGAGAATATGTTGAACATACCGGTATGCAGCGCTTCCTCCCTGCCTCTCCCCACCCCTGCCTGCTTGGGGCCAGGGAGGGCCTTCGCTGGCCTTGCAGGTCCACCGCCAGTCCCCTCATGGGGCTCGGCAGTGGAGCTGCAAGGCCGGTGCCAGCGGCCGGGACCGTTGGGGCCGGGGTGTGTGGCCTTATGACACACTTCTGGTGATGTCAGGGGGTGTGGCATATGCTAATGAGTTATGCTAATGAGTTCCCCTAGCTCTTTTTCTACAAAACGACCCCTGCCGGTGGTGCTAGAACAGCTGCAGTTGCTCCTCTTCAGGCCTCTATTAAGACAAGTGCAATAGGAAACCAGTGCACCTGTACATTATGCTTGCCCTACCAGTTCCATGTAGCACTGTTCCCCCGTCTGATCCCTCCACACCCACCCATGCCAGAAAGTACGTGGAAGATGGAATGCAACGGATACCGACACCTTCCACATACTCACTTTGCAGATCCCACTCAGCACAATTTCATGCACCACCCAAAAAAAAGTCCTGTGTTATCATGAATTCATGATAGGTACCAGTGCTATCATGAGGCCCCAAGATGGGGCCAGAGTGCCCCGGAGTGGCACTCCAGGAGTGAGGCAACAGGGGGCGGGCACATGATGAAGCCCCGCCCCCTGCTTCCAATCGCTCTCTGCTTCCAGCCGCCCTCATTTGGGCCAGGAGGAGGCAGAAGAAAGATGGTAAGTTGGCTGGTGGGGGTTTTTTTTGGGGGGTAGGCCACGGTGGGGGTGGTGGAGGCTTTTTCTGGGGCCAGGGGGTGGTGGTAGGCCGCGGATGCTCCAGGCGCTGCGGTAGGGGCCTTTTCTGGGGCCGGGGGGGTAGGCCGCGGGTGCTCTGGGCGCCGCGGCGGGTATCTTTTCTGGGGCCAGGGGAGTAGGCCGCAGGTGCTCTGGGTGCCACGGCGGGGGTGTTGGGGGATTTTTCTGGGGCCAGGGGGGGTAGGCTGCGGGCGCTCTGGCTCTGGGCGTCGCGGCGGGGGTGGCAGGGGCTTTCTCTGTGAGGGCAGATCTGTTCATTCCCCCCGCCCATAGCCAGTAAACCAAAACAGTCCAGTGGCACCTTTAAGACCAAGTTTTATTCAGGTACCAGCTCTCCCTCCTCTGTGAGGGCAGATTTCTCTCCCCGCCCCCCATAGCTAGCAATCCAAAACAGTCCAGTGGAGCTGGAGTGGTGGTTGCTGCCTTCTGACACACTTCCGGTGATGTCAGGGTGTGTGACATATGCTAATGAGCTCTTGCACCCCTTTTTCTACAAAAAGACTATCATATCATAATTTGTTTTGAAGCACATCCTGCTACCCATCTAACTGTAGCACACTATCACAGAATTGATGGCCCTGGGGACTGGCTGGCTGATATACCCTAAGGACTTTAGATTAACCATGTAATGTTTGGCAGCTCTGAAATTTTTTTTTTCTTCCTGGCACCTTGCTGACATTCAGATTTCACACACACCCCAGTCTTGATGCGAACATGTGAAATATTTGCACACTAGTGCTCCAACAGCATGTCACAGACAGAAACGGTCCTGCTTCTCTAGCCTTCATACTTCAATACTGGTAAATTTTGGATTAAATCCCATTCACACTGCAATACTAAACATAGTTATAAATACCCTTCTAAGATCAATGACATCAGTGCACTTTGAAGGGTGTAACTCTACTTAGGACTGCATTTTTAGTTAACCTTTCAAGATATAAAAATGAGTTCTAAGTTCTCGAAGCAAGTTACTTTTAAAGATTCCAGATTCAGAGTAATTTCTGTCCTCCTAAGCAAAAATAGTTGGAAAGTGCGTCCTTCAAATGTAATGCAAGTTCTATACTCCATGCAAGTCTCAGAGCAAAATGCATGCTGGTCTAGAACTAGTTACGTCTCAACACAATTGTATGTGAAGATGCTACAGGAGTGTTGTAATTTAAAAATGATGTTACCCCCGGGGGGGGGGGGTAATCTGCAGGGATATAAACAGGAGTTTCCAAAGAAGTTACAAACAAACCTAAAGATACAGGCCACAGAGTACTCAGAGCCCTCAGCTATCTTCTTTGACTCACTATTTCCTAAATGCTATGGCTTCGTAGTTCATTTCTGAAATGTGAATTCAAAGACATCTAAACATCTAAACTGGTTTACTGACACAGTATTGTGGCAGGCTAAAAGGTTTGCTCTCCCCACCCCCACCTCAATTCATATTCCTTTCCCTTATTTCTGACTTCATTTTGCTTGCTTCCAGAACAGCAGTGCTCAGATTGGCAATAAGCATTGCCTGCTTCACATAATCAGCATCATTCATCTGTGCTCCATTACAATCAGCTGTAGAACCCTCACTGTCTTTCAAGGCACAGTATTCAACCATGCAAATAATGCACTCAGACTTTTATTATCAACATAACTTTTAACCTGTCAGCCATATCAGGTTAGATGTATAGAATAACAAGCATCCCCTACATGGGAGCACCAAGACTTAGAAATCCAGCCTAATTATTCCACCAAAAATAAAGAAAGCATAGAAGACAGGGAAGAAATAAGGAGAGAAGCTCAGCTTTGGAAAAGTATTTTTCTAAGGATCTGGTCCCATTCGAAGTACTTAGCAGGCATAGCAACAAGACCCCATTAAACTAGCAAAATAAAATATTTCATATGTGCTGCTTTGAATCAAAACGGGATTTTATTGCAAAAGTTGACATCTCTTCAGTCTAGTACTTAGATACTTTCCCACTTTATTCACAACTAGGAAAAAGGCCCGTTGTGGAAATAAATACAACGGCCTCTAGAAAGAGGCTCTGGGCAGGTGCCCCGGCCTTGGACACTCAGTGCTGTGGTGACCTCAGCAGGGTATAATGACACTGAGTCCACCATTTTCTCCAGAGGAACTGATCTCTGCTACCTAAAGAACAGTTGTAATTTTGAGTGATCTCCGGTCCTCACCTGGAGATTGGCAACAATGGTTCCCCAGAAAAGAATAGTTGGTTTGGAGGGTGGAGTCTATGGCTTTGTACCTGTCCGAGGTCCCACGCCTCCTGAAACCTCACCCTCTCCAGGCTCCATCCCTCACATCTCCAGGAATTTCCCACCTGGAGGTCCTTCCCAGCCAATCATCAACCTACCTTTATTTCCCCCTCACTCTTCAGCTTTCCATCCCCCACACACCTGCAGCCTTTCCTGTGCTCTGATGCCCTGACCTCTACGTCACATTGGTTGTCATGGGGGCCACCTCAGCAGCATATAAGGATACAGAGCCCACCATTTTCTCCAGGGGAACTGATCTCTGCCATCTGTAGATCAGTTGTAATTCTGAGTGATCTCCAGCCCTCACCTGGAGATTGGATACATTTTACCTCAAAACAGCAAAACTGTTCAGAATGTTAGAGGCAAAAGCCAATCAAGTCACATATGAAAACTACCTCTGTGTTCCGAGGCTGAGGCCAATGAGGCTGCCTATGCAAATAACCTCTGTGTTCTGACTGGCTGTGGGGGGGAGAGGAAGAGCAAACTGTTTAGAATGTTGGAGGCAGGACTCAGGCAAAGCAGCCAGTGGATAGGGAGACCCTCTGAATGACAGAGCAGAGAGCGAACTGATTTTGGAGCGTGTGGAATGTTCTAGAGAAGTGCCACTACCATTCGGCTATTATTTATAAGGGAGATAAGGGGACTACATGGAAAATTAAAAACTCCACAAAATACAGGATACTAGATCAGGACAGAAACTCCAACAGAAAACTTCTCCAGTGTGATAAAGATACTTTACATTTCTTTTGTTATCTGGTATATGCACTTGCTAAACTACCAGAAAGGATGGCATGGAGCTCCACTCCAAACTCAAGTCATGGTTTACAAGCCTAGGCTCCAGGCAGTAAAAGTGGTTCCCAAAAGAGGTGGCTCTTCCAAAATTAGCACACAGGGTGGGCAATGTTAGACCTCACCTTCCATATCCAGGAGTTTCTGGAGGAGCAAGGGCTCAGTGCTGTTATCAACTCTTTTGCCATACTGATATAGGACTATACAGTGCTAGGCCTGCTTGCACATGCCCACAGTGTACTGCAGAATCCACTCCAGGTTCCACAATCAACACCAGAACGTGGGCAGAATTAATCCATTCCTGTCTCCAGCAAAATGTATCTGAACAGAACCACAGCCCAGTTAACCAGGTGCTCATGAACCTGTCTTTGTTGACCATTACCTTGGAAGCAGCCAGTCCTCCCGAGCCCCCTCCAATGACAATCAGATCGTAGTCATAAGAATGTCCTTCTGCCTGGCCATTCACTTCAAGTAACTTTTTAAGCGTTCCGTCCTTGTGTGCCTAAATGGAGAAAAGCAAAGACATCTGTCCATTAAAAAGTATTTTACATGGATCACAATATCACAAATTGGTGGAGGCTAAAAACAACAATAACCCTGCGTTGCAAAAACAAAAAGAAACAAACAGGAAGCAAAGGTCCATCTAGAAGAGTTTTCATGTTTCCTTACTTCCAGCTGCTGTATCTAGCCACCAACCTTTATTATTACTTATACAACTTTGCATCTCAAATAAGCTGTAATGCATATGACTGTTATGGGGGGGGGGGAGGCAGCACTGCTTCTCCTCCCACTCTGCATTCTTTCAGATCACATGTAATTATTCCATAGAAATACTTATCACTCTAGCAGCTCACAGGTTCTACATACTGAATGGACTATTATTATAAACAATTAAATGTACTTACATTTTAGCTATGCAAACCAGAAGCACAAATCTCTTTGCTTTAAACAATGGTGAACATAAAGATACATTCATAGCACTGCTATAGTTTATTATGAGGTATAGAACAGTAAACACAAACCCCTGCTTTCTAAAGAACCTTACTTAGAATCTTGCCTTCCTCTTCTGAAATCTGAAATGGTGATTTTGCCCTAAGGCTGGTATTGTTCAGAAATCCTCCTGAGAACAGGGTAGTGGGCACCACCACCACAAAATGGCTGCAATGGGGGATGTGGGGGGCTCATTCAGAAAATGTTGGAAGGATCCACAGGTCTTGGAAAGTTCCAAGCCAAACACTGTGCTACATCAGAGGCAGCCATTTCTGAATAGGTGCTTCCTGTAAACGCAAAGGGTAATACCTCCTGGGCTCTTCTGAGATACCTCCTCCTACCATTAAACTGCAGAAAAGCTAGAATTGGCTCTTTGGTTTGAAAGAAGACGACAACAAAGACGAAAAAGACGAAGACGAAGAGATTGGATTTATACCCCACCCTTCACACAGAGTCTCAGAGTGGCTTACAAACTCATTTCCCTTCCCCTCCCCACAACAGACACCCTATGACGTAGGTGGGGCTGAGAGAGCTCTTTCCAGAACTGTCCTTGAGAGAACAGCTCTGACAGAACTATGGCTTAACCAAGGTCATCCAGCAGCTGCAAGTGGAGGAGTGGGAAATCAAACCCAGTTCTCCCAGATTAGAGTCCGTGCACTTAACCACTACACCAAACTGGCTCTCATGCTTTGGGGCAGAAGCAAGCGCTCACCAGGAAACACACTGGCAGGCATGACGCTGAAGATCACTGCTCTAGAGCATTTGTTTAGTTTCTTCTCAACATCCTAAAGTCTTGAGAGAAGGCCAAATGGGCTTTCCATCAGCTGAAACCTTTGAACTTCAAGAGCAGCTCCTCATGCTCTCCATTAATATTATTCCTCTGATCACCTAGTGTCCAGAGACACTTGCAGGGATGCCCTTTGGGAAAAGAGGCGTGCAATTTTACAAGACTACTACCCTCATGACCTCATCAGGTAGTCCTCATGTCCACTGTTGTGTCTGTCCCAGGCCTATTGACCAGATATAGTCTGGAAGCTCCAAGCTTGCCAGGTGTGTGGAGAGAAAAGGCTCAAGCCTCCCCTCCACACCATTGTCCCAACCTGAAAAAGCCCCGGGGAGCTGCTGTTTGCCCCACTGGTGAAACCCTATTTGTAACTCTTTAGTTCATCTATGTTTGCCCAACAGGACAAGTTACAGCTCCCCAGGGCCTTCTCTGGTCAGGAAAAAGTGCGGGGAAGAAGAAGGTTTGAGCCCCATCTTCTCTTGGCCCTAATCTAAATCAGGTCTGTGCATACCTGGGGCATGGAACTCCCAGCCCACGTGTGACCATTAGGACAGGTTAGACATCCAGGGGACACAAGGACTTTGTAATGTGTTATTAGGTGGGCTACAATCCTATCCATGCTTATTTGGAAGCAAATCCCATTGAATGTGGAGGGTATTTCCAAGTAAACAAGCATAGGACTGCAGTACACAGAAGTGAAGAAACACATCTCTTCTTTACAATAGCTAGAGTAAATAGGGTTAGGTAGGCTGACTACCCTCAGCCACTTCTCTGCTCAAGCTTGCAGCCTCCCAAGTTGCTTTTGATGATGATGATGACAGATCAGCTTACAATCTCCTTTCCTTTCCCCTCCCCACAACAGACAACCTGTGAGGTAGGTGGGGCTGAGAGAGCTATTTCAAGGACTGCTCTTGAGAGAACAGCTCTGAGAGAACTTGTGACTGACCCAAGGTCATGCCAGCAGCTGCATGTGGAGGAGTGGGGAATCAAACCCGGTTCCCCCAGATTAGAGTCCGCGCTCCTAACCACTACGCCAAAGCAGCAGCATTAGGGTATGTGTATGGCTGCATGCCACATCAACCCTAGCACCCCTTTCGGCCATAGTTCATTATTGTTAAACAGCATTTTTAGTGCCCGCTGTCTACATAACCCATACTACATTCCAGCAGTACATCCCTGCCTCCAAACAATTAACAAACCTGAATCTCTAGTTCAACAACTCTGGGGTTGTATTTCCACACAGTTTCCCTGGAGCTACAGGTTGTTAACTTCTTCCCTGCAATTTTCCAGTGGCGATAGGCGCAAGGAGCCAGACCACATAAATATTGCCACCCCACTGCCAGCTCTTTGATGTACATGTGAGGATTTCTGATTGGCTTTCCTGGGAGAGTGGGAAGACTGTATCGGGGTTCAAGATGGTTTGCTGTGGAGTAGGCAGAGAGTCAATAATTAGAGGACACTATCACATAAGGGAATAATTCCACACTACTTTGAAATGAAAGATTTGCATCAGTGCATCCTGAGACCAACTGTTTTGTAGGCCAGCATTTCTTTTATTGACTTACAGCTTGTGCTCTAGAAGCACACATTAAATCAAACAATGCTATGCTCTGCAGCAAGAGAACCTGTCTTGCAGTCTAGGTCTGTAGATTAACTGCCATTATTCAGTTTAAAAGATCCTCTGAATTTTGCAAATGCATTTTGACAGCTGGGACCTGCAAAAAGCATTCAAATTTATCTCCATACACCCTCCAGCTGAAAAATCAGTCAGTGTATGACATTCACAAAGTTCCCACACTTCACTACCAGCCGAAATGCAGCCTCATTTGCCTGCCTCTGGATAATTGGCTTGGTTCACTTTGACCTCAGCAATTGAAGAGGAGAAATTCAAGTGCAAATCAGACAGCCAGATAGGGCATTTCAAGAGGACCTTAATCTTTGGGAATGAGAGCTTTTGTTTCAGTCAATAGCTGCTCCCCAGATGGGCCACTGCTAGAATGTACCCACTGACTGTCACAGGACTAGAGTGGCCTGGAATGTTACCACATATAGTTTCTTTCCAGTGCTGAACAACAGGAAGGCTAGAAGGACATCTCTGGGTCATTTCCTGTGCTCACAGATGAGCACAGCAGTCGTCCAGAAAGCACAAAAAAAGACAACTGAACAAGATCTTTAGTAAGTCCTCACTTTCTCCAAGAGCGTCAGGGAAGAATAATATTTTTCATACCACTGGGGAAACATATGTCAGGATAAGAGCCAGATTCAAGTCCAGTAGCCCCTTAATGTCAGAATGTAGCTGGGCTTTTAGTGATCTCTGCACTGAGGGATAGGTAAAGGTTTCCCTTGCTCGAAAGCCAGTTGAATCCGACTCGGGAGCGGTGCTCATCTCCGTTTCCAAGCCGAAGACTTTTCCGTGGTCACGTGGCCAGCTTGACTAAACGCCGAGGCGCACAGAACGCTGTTACCTCCCCACCGAAGCAGTACCTATTTATCTACTTGCAATTTCTTGCTTTTGAACTGCTAGGTTGGCAGGAGCTGAGGCCAGAGAAAGGAGCTCACTCCATCATGCTGCACTAGGGTCTCGAACTGTCGAGCTACCGACCTTCCAGTCTGCAGGTCAGCATCTTAACCTCTGAGCCACTGTATCCCCTACACTGAGGGATACACTGCTAAAAAAGAAAAGGCCCAAATCTTCTTGTTGTTAGGAGGCAATGCCAATCCACTCTAGAAAGGCCTTATAAGAAAAGAAGAGATTGGATTTATACCCCGCCCTTCACTAACCGAAGGAGTCTCAGAGCGGCTTACAACCTCCTTTCCCTTCCTCTCCCCACAACAGACACCCTGTGAGGTAGGTGGGGCTGAGAGAACAGCTGTGCCAGAACTATGGCTTGCCCAAGGTCATCCAGCAGGTGCAAGTGGAGGAGTGGGGAATCAAACCCAGTTCTCCCAGATTAGAGTCCGTGCACTTAACCACCACTACACCAAACTTAGGAAAAGTGCTTTGATAATTGCTACTTTCAAACATCTGGGTTGTTTTATGTTATATATACAGTGCAACCTTAAACAGAGTTACACCCTTTTGAGTCCACTGAAGTCATTAGGATTACACTGTTAATTAAACTATTTTGGTGTACCATTCTGTGTTTGCAGTTGGGCAATTTGTAAGCTAATTAAATACACTTTAACTAACAATAAAATGTGCTGAGAAAGATGGCCATCAACGGAAAAGAATGCATCTTTCTAAAAGCTTTTATCCATCTTTTCTGAACCTGTTGCAGTATGAAAGGGCTAATTCACACAAGCAATATGTATAACAAGAAGCGGGGATCCGTGGTACTCGGAGGAGATGAGGAGCTCCACATAGAGGAGGAAGTCACCGCAGGTGAGCCTGCTCCCCTTCTCCCCCACCTGGCCCTGACAGCGAGGCCTGCATGGCTCCAAGCTGTCGGGGCCGCCAAACCTTCTCTCTCCCCCTCGGCAGCGACAGCAAGGCCCAGGGTACCAAGCCTTCTCCCTCCCCCCCTCTGGCACCGGTGGCAAGGCCTGAGCAGCTCACAGCCACCAGCCCACCAAACCTTCTCCCCCCCCAGCACTGGCGGCAGCAGTGGGACAGTTCCCAGGGCATTCTCTGCGCATGCGCAGGGAACGCTCTTACTTTTTGGGGGATTTAAGTATCCCCCGTATAGTTTTTTAAACTTTTCAGATTTTTCTGCACACCTGGGGATTGCCTCAAGTGTGCAGGAAAATCTCTCTCCCCCCCCAAGTGCCCCCGATGTGCGGATTTAGATATCCGCACAGAGGGGGCCTCTTGGCTATTAGTATATAGACAAGAAAGGGGACCTGCGAAATTCGTGGGGGGGAGGGCGGGGGAACTCCACGCAGAGCAGGTGGAGGAAGAAGCAGCAGCAGAAGCAGGTAAGCTTCCCCCCCCCATCCTGCCGGTTCCCCCGGTCTCCACCACCACCCTCCTCCACCCCCACCCGGCTCAGGGGGTGAGGCCCGAGCGGCTTGCAGCTGCCAGACCTCGCCAATCTCCCCCCCTCCCTCCTCCCCCCCCAGCTCCGAAGCAAGGCCAGGAATCGGTGTACTTACCGGCGTTCACACGGCGAACATCTGCCTTCCGTCCCTAACCGTTGCAAAGAGCTTTAAACCATTGTATTCTGCCACTAGCCCCCCAAGTGGTAGTATCCTGAGTGCAACGGTTGTAATTGCTTTATCCCCCCCCCCGTCTGATCGCTCTCCACCATTGTAGAGCCAGTTCCGTTCAAAAGCCCGAGGCTTCCGATTTTCACCCGCCATTTTTTTTTGTTAGGTCGGCAATATGCGCTTGGGCAAAGCTTCGCCCCGGCGTTTGTTTAAAAAAAGAAAAGGTCCTTAGTTTAACGTTTTAGAGGAGTCCGGGCCTCAGGGAGCCCAGTTTGCTCTTTAAACTTTAAAGGTAAGTCCTCTCCTTCAGGGCATGCTTTTCTGGACGGGGTGTTTTGCGCATGCGTGAAGATCGCCATTCTGTGGATTGCTGCCTATGCGCATGCGCAAACTGTGTTAAAAACAAACAAACAAACTGCCGACGCCTGCTGTGTGTGAACGGGCATACAGCGATGGGCTCCGCAGACAGGACGTAAGTGTGATCGCGTTTCAGCCGGCATAAACTGCACCGGTTGGAACCGGTGCAGTTTATGCCGGCTGAAACACCCTGTCTGAACACACCCACTGGGTGGCCTTGGGTGCCTGACCCACTTCATCGCTTTATGGCGAAACTGGAATTCTGCCTTGAGTTCCTTGGGAAAAGGCAGGTTACAAACATAAGGAACAAAATAACAGTCATAATTCAGTCTGACTGGCAGGTTTGTGGAAGTGTACACCCCTCCCAGCACAGCAAACGGCAAAGTGGTCATTTGGGTGCCTTTCAGCACCAAATAAAGTGAGCAATTCACACATTTGGGGCTGAAAATGTTAGAAATATCATTCAACAGGCTTCTGTACTACTGCTTTCTGTAATGGGACTGCAACACTTGTACTAGCTAAAAGGTACAGTCAATTTTCCTTCCACATAGTCTCCCACGTTAACAGCATTTACACGTGACACAAATATCACAGAGGCTCAAACGGGCATTGTGTGAAGATGCTCCTAAACTCCATGGCCCCAGTCCAGTTTATACGGAATTTATATGTTGCCTCTTCAGAGTCCTACCTGAGGTGGCTTAAAAGTTTAAAAAACAAAACGTGTGCCCATCAGTTGTTTGATGGAGTGCAAGGGAAGTAAACGCAGCCCCTGCTTGTTCTCCCATCTGGAATAGATTACGGGTAAAGTTTATGGATGTATGCAGCCATGTATGGCTGTGAGAGTTGGACCATAAGGAATACTGTGTGCAGTTCTGGGCACCACACCTTAAAAAGGATATTATAGCTTTGGAAAAAGTGCAGAAAAGGGCAACTCGAATGATAAAAGGGTTGGAACACTTTCCCTATGAGGAAAGGTTAAAGCGCTTAGGGCTCTTTAGCTTGGAGAAAAGACGACTGAGGGGTGACATGATCGAGGTTTATAAGATTATGCATGGGAAAGAGCAGGTAAAGAAAGAGGTACTTTTCTCCCTTTCTCACAATACAAGAACTCGTGGGCACTCCATGAAACTGCAGAGCGGTCGGGTTAGAACGGATAAAAGGAAGTACTTCTTCACCCAAAGAGTGATTAACACATGGAATTCACTGCCACAGGAAGTGGTGGGTGCTACAAGCATGGACGGCTTCAAAAGGGAATTAGATAAGCATATGGAGCAGAGGTCCATCAGTGCCTATTAACCACAAGGTATAGCTAGGGGCTCTGGGGCAAGTGATGCTCTGTCTTCTTGGTGCTTGGGGGGGGGGGGTCAACAGTGGGAGGGCTTCTAATGTCCTGGCCCCACTGCTGGACCTCCTGATGGCACTGGTATTTCTGGCCACTGTGTGACACAGAGTGTTGGACTGGATGGGCCTTTGGCCTGATCCAACATTGGCGTCTCTTATGTTCTTATGTTCTTAAACCACTAGGCCATTCAGGTTTGACCCAGAGCATATCACTGATGAATATACAGTGGAGGTGAACAATAGGTTTGACTAGATTTGATAGACAGAGTGCCTGAAGAAGTATGGATGGAGGTTTATGACATTGTACAGGAGGCAGCAATCATTGCAACGAACATGAAGTTGAGCAAACTTCAGAGGATGGCGGAAGACCGGAAGGCCTGGAGGGAGCTGGTCCATGGGGTCGCAAAGAGTCGGACTCGACTGTGCGACTGAACAACAACAACAAAAGTTTATGGAGTATTTGGCAGACCTACAAGCAAAAGCCCTGCCCGTTGGCTTGGGCAAAGGAACCCCATGCGTAGCAACCCTCTATGTCAGAGTTCCCTTCCAGGGGATGCACACGCAGAAACGTGTGAGCACCCATGTGGCCCTTAGCTAGATGATCACAGCTTCTGGGTTGTAAAAAAACCCAGACATGCTAACAAATGACTATTAAAGTTAAACAACAGTATTGGAGGAAACAATTTCAGGCGACGTTCAAATCCATTAACCTCTCTTCACTTTTCCAGGCACGCTGTTCAATTTTCAAATACAAACAGGAGGTCTAAGATCTTTACGAAGTCCCCAGCTGCACCTCTTTCCGTTCTCAGCTCTCCCAGCCCTTACCTGGCCTCCAGTTTAGCCATACTACGACCTCCGGGTCAACAAAGGAAGACAGATTCTTGCTTTTGAGCTTTACAGGCTTTCAAAAACTTAACAGCCCACATGTTCACAGGTTCTTACCTCTAAAATTTTCTGGAAACCTCCGACTTGTTTTTGTTGAACAAACACGACGGGCACTGAGGTCTCCATTGTGAGTTCATACAAGGCTTCTTTCAGTTGCTGCCCATCTTCTGTAAGAGGAAAAAAGAGAGAGAGAGAGAGAGAGGCACCCCCGCACCGCGTGCGTGTGTGAGGGCTTCCGTTTATGAAGGCTTACTTGGCAGGCGGGTGGGAGGAATTAGCGAGGGGAGGTGGGGCTTTCTGCATCACAGACAAACTTCACTCACTTCCCTGTTCACTCGAGTTGCTTTCAGCCACTGCCTGTTTCAGCGTTGCCTAAAGCTGTGGTGAGTCAGTTGCATTGCAAGCATGACTTGCTAATTTTTCACCCCAGTCCTAATTACTTGCTGTGACTAGCACAGCTCAGGTTGGAGTTCTTTTTAATCATTTAGCACAGGGCTGAGACTCTAAAACCTACGATCCCGCAATCCTAAGGAAGTTCACTGGGAGGAAGGCCCCAGAGAATACAGGTTTTAACATTAAAAGTGTTAGCATTACAGTTTTTTAACATTAACAGTCAAATGCCATCAAGATTTTCTGCCGGTGTAACATTAAAAACATGTTATCAAATTTTTGTTTACAAAAATCCCAGTGTTTCTATTATCAGAAAATTATCTACTCTAATAAAGGATTGTTTCCAACATAGCTACATCAAGCAACAAAATCACTAGAGAGTGAATCTGTGTTTTACTTTTGGAATTCGTTGCAGCAGAAAAGGTGACCTAATTACTCCAAAGGCGGCCTGTTTCCAGTGAAGCGACTCTCCCATCCTCAAGCAGGATGACAGCTGGGATTCTCCACATTCCACCCTGGACAAGTCCCTCTCTCGATTTCCATCATCATCTCTGAGCTTTCCTTGCCCTCCAGGAACGTTATTACATCATTAAAGGATATTCAATTCCTCTGAAAATATCCCTGGCAAAGTTCCTGTGGTGTAAACCTTCGCAGACTAAAGGCTGCTTCACCAATGCACCAGTTGTATTTTCAGTTGGCACATTTTATATATATTATACATACAAGGCTAGAGAAAAGAAAATGATAAACCATGTGGAATCGGTCACCTCCAGCCAGTGGGCTTTACAACTGTGACGGGAACTAGCTCCTGGGAGGGATTTTTGCTACTTTCCCTTCTCTCAGAGTTTTGTCCTGTCCTTCCTCAAAGGAATTCTGGGAAAGGAGGGAGATCATCCTCATTTGGTCCTCACAAAAACCCAGGGAGCTTCACATGAAATCGGAGGATCTTGAACCCAGGTCTCTCGAATCTTAGTCTGACACTGAGCCGAGAACAGGTGAGGGGTAAAGGGAGGTTGCCATCCCCCACTCACGGCAACACTCACTCTGCCTCCCGGTTCAGACGTGTGGCAGCAACATCAGCGCCCCTTTTCCCCTTTGCTCCTCCACTCACTTCTGAGGCTGGGAGGTCTTTCCCCCTCAGAGCGGTGTTAAGTCGTGTGCTTAACAAAGAAGTCGGAGAGTGATTCAGCAAGAATGCGGTTTATTCTTCAGCTCTGTTACTTCTCCGAACACGGTACAACGATCGCCAGCCAGAACCCATCATTCGAACCACTCGAGCCAAAGGACAAGCACTGACTGCTCTGTATTTAAACATTCCCGGCTAATGTAGCCACACCCACTGTACAATAAGCAACCTATGAGGTTGAAGCAATAAGGACCAATCACAAGCGATCCCGCTCTGCACGGTGATTGGCAAACATGTTCTGGGCTAGGGCTCCTATTGGTTACATTAGGATCCTAGCCCAGGGCGAAGCTTAACATGGCATCTCAATGGCATAGTTCACAAGGCAGTTATATACACTTCAATACATAACAAGCGGCATGCACAAGACAGCCCACTTGCCTCCCAATCCACGTGCCAGCCCTCCTCCTCTCTTCCCCAGCCTCCCCTGTCCCTTTGTCAGCTAACTGCCACTCTTTGTGCCCGCTCTCGCCAACCCCCCTCACAGCCGCCATTTGAAAAATCATGAAGCCAGGTGGTGCAGCAGTGGCGGCGTCATCCGCTCAACTCCATTACCACCCTACACGTAGCGGTTTCTCCAATCCTCACTGGACTGCAGTCAGAGGAGGCAGGAGGGGAAAAACCACCACACCTTCTCTTTCTCTGCCTTTGCTCCCCCCCACACACACACACTGTTTTACCGTAGCCTCTTAGCCCCACCCCAGTAATTTCCTTTCTATTTCTTGACTGCTTCGGCTATATACCCATGCCATACACCAGTTGTCATTTGCATCTCCTCTGAACATTCATACACAGCTAACGAAAGTGAATAAAAAACCCAAACCCCATTGCTGCTGCTACTGCCTTAAAAATGTTGGGCTTCAAGCCATAATTCCATGTGTACTTTGGATCATTCTATGACAGGGGTGGCCAAACTGTGGCTCGGGAGACACATGCGGCTCTTTCACACATATTGTGCTGCTCCTGGCAGGGCAGCTGGGGAAGCAAAGGCGAGGCATGCCTCCCTGTTTGGTCTTCCCTACCCCAGCCAGTGTTCCTCTCCCTGGGTACGCTTGAGGTGGGGGGAAGCAGGGAAAGAAAGCAACTAACTTTAAATGCATTCTCAGAGCACCCACCTGCTGGCCAGCTTGGAGAAGGCATTTGTCTCTTTAAACCTCTTCTCCAAGCCAAGCCAGTGGGGTGGAGGTGGGGGGCTTGGAGGACGCATTTAAAGTTGCTTTCTTTCCACCTCCCCCCCCCATCTATTTGCTTTCTTTGCTTCTGATTCTCTCTCCCCTCTTCTTTCTTTCCACCTCTTCCATTCCTTCAATCTTTCTCTTTGTCTCTTCCTTCCTTCCTTCCTCCCCCCACCCTCCCCATTTATTTGCTTTTTGTTTTTCTTTCACTCTCTCTTTGTTATGTACACAGACTGCCACCAGGGGTCTGAGGCTAAAGAAGGAGCTTGGTCCCCAAACACAAAGGGGACCTAGGATCCTAGTCCACATCGAGTCCACCAATAGCATCCTTGGCAGGAAATTCAAACCCTCCAATGGGAAGATAGGTGTGCTGGGTGGAGTGTATATAGTTGGCCTTGCAGGGCTGTTTTCTTTGTCTTGTTGTGAAGTACAATAAACGCGTCTGAACACATGTCATAGTCCGAGTCCTCCATGCGGCGAACTCAGTACTTTACACTCTTCCCCCCCCCCCCCAATTATTTGCTTTCTGGGTTTTTTTTCTCTTTCCCCCTTCCTCCCTCTCCCATCTATTCTTTCTTTCTATATTTCTATTTTTATTTCCCCTTCCTTCCCCCTGCCCCATGTATTTGCTTTCTTTGTTTCTCTCTCTCTTTCCACCTCTTTCATAATTTCTTTCTATCTTTGAAAAATAAATATTATAAATATCTGTCTTTATCCCTTTTGTTTTTATTTTAGTCAGTCTCATTTAATGTTAATAAGAAGCAAATTTGCATATTTTCCAGTAAAATGTGTAATATTTTTTCATGTCTTGTGGCTCTCAGATGTCTGACATTTATCTTATGTGGCTCTTATGTTAAGCAAGTTTGGCCACCCCTGTTCTATGATGATGAAAGGGACTTATTTCCAAGTAAATGAATTAAAGATAAGGATACCCATATATCAAACAGATCTGCCAATGAGGCCTTGTACAAACATCCTTTAACATTTTAAAGTATCTTAATCTTAAAATGTCTTACAAACACATGCCTAATTTCTCACACTTCCCAGTAATTACAATAAAGACACAGACACAGGGAAACTGTAAAGCTTTTAAGCTGCCACTCCTTTTTGCTCTAGGCAAACTGCCCGTTGCAGCATGACAAAGCAAAAAAAAAAAAAAAATTAAAAAACAACCAGTTTCATATCACAGCTAAGCTCTAAAGAAGTTTATATGTGTATATGGGGTTCTTTCTTGCAGCCTGCTCCCTTTTTTCACTACATTTATGCGGCTTTTTTGGAGTGTTTAAAGATTTGTTTTACAGAAATCCTTACCACAACCCAGTAAAGTAGAGCAGTATTAATACCTTGTGTGTTGGGGGGGGGCCCAGTAGATACCAACTAGTAAGAACATAAGAACATAAGAGAAGCCAATGTTGGATCAGGCCAATAGCCCGTCCAGTCCAACACTCTCTCACACAGTGGCCAAAAATACCAGGTGCCATCAGGAGGTCCAGCAGTGGGGCCAGGACACTAGAAAGCCTTCCCACTGTTGCCCCCCCCCCAAGCACCAAGAATACAGTGCATCCCTTGCCTCAAACTGAGAGTTCCTATCTATACCTTGTGGCTAATGGCCACTGATGGACCTCTGCTCCATATGTTTATCCAATTTCCTCTTGAAGCCATCCATGCTTATAGCCGCCAGCACCTCTTGTGGCAGTGAATTCCATGTGTTAATCACTCTTTGGGTGAAGAAGTACTTCACATGGAGAAATCTGAAACAGGAACGAGGGTTGCCAACCTCTTTCCTTCTGTGAAAATGGTGCTTGTTAAATTTTTGTCTGTCTTTGAATGATATTGGGATATATGGATTTTATTCTGTTGCCTCTTTGAGAAAGCTGAGAAGAAATGGAATTAAAGGTTGACAAGTCCATCAAAGGCTCCATTAGAATGTCCATAAATCATCCACAATTACTGGATTTGAAAGAACAAAGGACATAGGACTGTTTATTCAGCCCAGCACAGTTTATTCGTGGAAAGAACACTTACAGGCACTTTCATTCATCATTAGAATAGACTGGTGGTATTGATAATGAATTGTTTGTTTGTTTTTTTAAACCCTGGAGGGATTTTTTATTTATTTTGCAAGTGCTAAAAAAAACTACAAAGAAATATTAGGAAAGGGACTACAACTAAGGATAAAGGAAAGCAAACCACAGTAAACTAAAACCCCAAGACGAGGAGATCATTTCACTGTAAGTAAAAATGTTAGTACAGTTAGTTTTAGTATCACAATATACTTGTAGAGTTCTTGCTTATAACAATTCGCTATTTATATGTTATTTTGTTAGTTGTTATGAGAGAAGTCTCTGATCTTCTTTTTCACTTCAAAAGGCCATTTTCCAAGTCCTTCTGCCTTTCTGTCTCTAAAATCGTATACCACTCTGGCTGGTCCTGCATCCTTTTCTATCGCAGAGTCCTCTTCCGTTCCCGAGGTAGC